TTCAGTTACTACGGCTGTGAGGGCAGCCATGACCCTGGCAAATGATCACCAGGGCCAAGCTTCTGATACACTTTGTACCAAACCATGTACAGTCCAGGCAATCATAGGAGAGGCTTCATCTTCCAGCATTGCAATTTCAGCATTTGTTGGACCATTTAATATACCTGTGGTAGGTAGGAAAGCTTCATGTCTCAGAAAATCTGAACATAAAGAAAAATGTCATATACAGACTAAAATATGTTAACCGTTATTCACCATATTATTGTCTTCCACTGATTGGGTAGCACCTAAATGCAGTGGAAGCTACTTATAGTGACCATAGTTATGGTAATTAACCGCTTATATAGCTACCTGAAGCTAATGCTGGGTGCACAGAAAACAGAAAAAGAAATTCATTTTTTCCTCAATTATGAATATAGACTTATCAAAATTTTTGATAAACTGCCAAAAACAATTCAATGAGATTCAGTAGTAAAACTATAATAAGCTACATTTTATGTACAGAACTGTACTGTATTATAGCGTATTTAAATTATACATAGTTCAGTAATTTAATTGTTACAGTACTGTAATTTGAAAAGCATTTGAAACAGCTGTACTTTATTATAGAGTCAATAAAACTGAGTAAATAGCGATGCTGTCCGTTTCACAACCTTACAGTATATTCGTGTAACAAATACACAAATGTCAAAAATGTCAGATGGAAATTTGTCTGAGATATAAAGAAAAAAATCAGTTATAGTGACCATCTGCTTATAGTGATCAATTTTACCCACACAGACGTGATCACTATAGACAGTTTCCACTATATGTGCTGTAAAAGTTTCAGTAAACAACATATCTATATTTAACAGGTAAGTCACTTTTCCACCTGTGCTTGTCTGAGTGACAAAAGGAAATATCCATCATTCCTCAGAACCATCCCCAGTGACTACTACCAGAGCAGAGCACTGGCCCAGCTGGTCAAATACTTTGGCTGGACATGGGTGGGTGCCATCAGGACAGATGATGACTATGGCAATAACGGAATGACCACTTTTATAGAGACCGCCCAACATCTAGGAATATGCGTTGAGTACTCAGAACCTTTTTACAGAACATACCCAAAGGAAGATGTACTACGAATAATTGATGCTATTAAGAGGTCCACTTCCCGGGTTATAGTGGGCTTCCTGTCCTACATGGACATGGATGTGCTGTTGCAGGAGATGGCTCACCACAATCTTACAGGGTACCAATGGATTGGCAGTGAGGGGTGGATCGCTGACCCATACACAGCCACTGTCAAGGGCCACTATGTCCTTAGTGGAGCAATAGGATTTTCTATTGCAAAAGCAGAGGTGTCAGGCCTAAGAGATTTCATGTTGGATGTTCTATCATTGAACACATCTGGTAATACTATTTTTCAAGAGTTTTGGGAAGGCTTATTTGAATGTAAATTTCCCAGTGACGTGGATTCAGTCAGTGGTAAAGTATGCACAGGCACTGAGAATCTGAGCGGGATTGATAACACGTACACCGATATGTCTCAGA